CATAGCTTCCAAAGGCCCCCTGCCTGTCCCTGGACATTATTGCTTTTTTTGCCCCCAGTGGGGTGGCACTGGTGAACTGAGGCCCTTGAGCCAGGCGATAGGAAGCGGAAGGCCATGGACACTGTCTCCTGGGGCCGTCCGGAAGCAGCCTCCATCCAGAAGCAGCAGCGTAGGCAGCCGCCCATGGGTGCTCAGCCTGAAATCCAAGCCAGCCCCACAGCTCCACGTTTTGCCCCCACTGGGGCTGGTGTTGATTAAAAACCTGAATCTCTCCATCCTCCCAGTAGCCCATCCTGGGGCGGGAGGTGGACAGTCCTCCAACACTGGTCCGGACACAAAGGGGAGGCTGGTGGTGAAGGCTGTGAGAGCGCACTAGGGGAACAGGCAAGGACTGAAGGAGAGACTGGAAAATGGGAGGGGGTAAGGGATGGGAACACAAACCCAAAAAGGCAAAATAAAAAGTTTTTTTTAAAAAGCCACCCAGGCGGTGGACGGCGACCGTGGGTGTGTCCTGTGGTGATGGAAGGCTGCTCACTCACGGATGCTGGCCGAATAAGAGAACTGGGGGAAGTGCGTCCGCTGGTCCAGCTCCAGCGAGCCCAGGCTGTCATCTGTGGGGTCAGGTGGAGGTGGAATGGGGTGACTGGCCCGTAGAGGGCCAGGGCCACCCCACCAGACTCCCTAAAGAACCCCCCTTGGAAAGAGCTGCAATGGGACCATGGGACGAGCCCTCAGCCAGCAAGGACTTCCCATGAGAACGGGACAGGGAAGGCTCAGCAGCCTCTTTCCCGAAGGAGCCCCCCAACCACAGCCCGCCTCCCAGGCCAGCCTCAGGCAGGCTCGTTTGGGATGCTCTGCACGCCCACCCAGCCTCCGAGATGTCCCTTCTCTCTTCTCCTCCTCCCATCCCCATACCACCACCAGGGTCTAGCTTAGACTTCTCCAGCTGAGGGCCCTGCCCTGGCCTGCTCACTTCACTACTCCACCTTCCACACAGAGCCAAAGAACTTTCTCAGCCCTATCCCTTTGCACAAAACCCTTCCACAGCTTCCCATGGGAAAGATCCCACTCAGCCAGGCATGATGGCACATGCCTATAATCCTAACCCTCTAGGAAAATGTTCAAATGAGGAGGGGGGCCAAGAAAAAAAAGAGAATAGAAGGAAAAAAAGAAAGCTTTTGAAAATGAGGGGAAGAGGGGTTGAAGGGAGGGGAGGGGAATGGGAAAAAAAAGCAAGATATATCATGTACAGGTACAAAGTCTCTATGATGAATGTTATCATTATGTATATCTAAAGTGTACCAATAAAAAAAATATATAAAGGAAAGAAGTAAGTTTTTAAAAAAATCCCAGCCCTCTGAAAGGTTGAGGAAGGAAGATAGCAAGTTCAGCCTGGACAATTTTATGACTCAATGAGACCCTGTCTCAAAAATAAAGGGCTGGGAGGGCCAGGGATTTAGCTCAGTGGTTCCGCTGCCTGCCTCGCAAGCATAAGGTCCTGAGTTCGATCCCCGGTACCAAAAAATAAAAATAAAGGGCTGGGGATTTAGCTCAGTGCAAAGAAAAAAAAGGTCCTCATTCCCCTTTGTGGCCCCCTGAGATCTTTTTTCCACTCTGACCCTACACCCTCTTTCCTGCTTCAGCCCCTCTGTCCTGACTGCAGCCTGTCCCCTGACTACAAAGATCTCCCTACACTGCACTCCCAGGAATTCATCCTGGCTGACATCCTGCTTCAGGCATTCCCTCTGCTCTTCCCCAGATTCCCGAGATCCTACACAAGCCCTGACCACTCTGGGCTGTTCCCCCAACCTGGACTGGGAGCTCCCCAAGGGCAGGGCCCAGGGCTGGTCTGGTCACTGCTGTTTCCAGCCCAGCTTGGGTGGGCTCACAGTAAGAACACAAGACAACTGGAGATTCAAAAAACCAATCTAGCCCCACAACTGGCATCTCCTGCCAGAGCTCTGTCCAGGGTCTGGAATGCGCTGTGGTGACCCTCCCCAGGCCCAACAGCAAATAGCCCTATAAGCAGGTCTTAGACAAACTTCCTAGATGCAGAGAGGATGCCTGGTAGGGTCCTCCTGGGGATCTGGGTCCACCGCAGACCCCACCGCTCCACCCCCAAGCCAGGCCCAGTGGCCTCGTGGCCCAACACTCACAGCGGTCCGGGGGTGTGATTGTGATGGACTGGGCAGTGAACTCATCATCAAAGTACCTCGTGTCAACCTCAGAAGTGACCTGAGGTTTGAAGGGCGGCAGCAGCTACAGAGGACAGGAGCACATGCTCAGGGACCCTGAGGACAGACCTCAAGCCAGGTCACCAGGGATCCACCAGGCCCCTGGAGCTCCTGCTGGGGCAGGGGAGGGGGCTCACCTTCTTTTGTACCACATCTTGCCAGTTGATGCTGAGGAAGAACCTGTGCTCCATGACCTCCTTGGCGTCACTGGGCCCCCCACCGAGCCTGGGCAGAGATAGCCATCAGCACCCACCACCCACAGCAGTCAGGATCTGGGCTTCTGGTGTGAAGGCTTGCGCCTGTGACATGCAGGCCCTGCACAGCCTTAAGGATTGTGTCCTGGCCACAAACCACCACTTCACAGCTGGGGGAGGAGGCTCAAGGGAGGGAGCTCACGGGCCCAGTGTCACAGCAGGGAGACAGTAATCAGGACCCATGTGTCATCGCTTCTTGGCCTTTTGGCTAAGATCAAGTGTAGGACCCATGTGGACTCGCAGCCTGCCCTCACCCTGAGTCCAGAAAGGGAGGTAACAGGGCAGGTTTGGAAAATGACTGATTCATATCCTGGCTCAGCTGCATATAGCTTAGGCCAGGCACAGTGATCCCCTGTACCTCAATGTCTCCATGAATCACCACAGTGTAGGCAGTGCCAAGGACTGGCCCGGAATGTGAAAGTATCCTCCAAGTGCCACCTGTAGGGACCACTGGGGGCCCACAAGGGACAACATGTACTTCGACCCCATGGGGAGTGTTCCTGTGGGTACTATGGCCTCCAGGCTGAGGGACAGTGGCAGCAAGGGCACTGAGCTGGATGGAGCAGACAGCAGCCCTCACCTCTGCTTGGGGTCCTTCTTCAGCAGCCCGGCCAGCAGGGACTTGGCCTCAGGGCCAAGTGTGCGAGGGAAACGGATTTCCTCCATGAGGATAAGCTCGAAGAGGCGCTCATGGTCCTGGTTGTAGAAGGGCAGGCGACCACACATCATCTCATACATGACCACGCCCAGTCCCCACCAGTCCACTGCACGGCCGTAGTCGTTGTCCTCCAGTACCTGAAGGGTGGGAGCAGTGAGTGGCCAGGCCCACGGGCAGGGGCAGCAGGGGGAGGTGTGAGGTCACAGCTGTGCCCTCTGAGGGCCCAAGAGAGGAAGGACGTGGGTCTGCGGGGCCCTCCGCCCTTGGCCTACATGTTCCTGTGCCCCAGCCCCAGGCACCTCAGGCGCCAGGTACTCCGGGGTCCCACAGAAGGTTTTCATGGTGGCCCCATCACTGATGCCCTCTTTGCACAGGCCAAAGTCAGTAATCTTGATGTGGCCATCTTTGTCCAGCATGAGGTTTTCCAGCTGCAGGAAAAGTCAGTATATGAGATACATGCCTCCCAGGGCTCCCTGTCACCCCAGCCCTTCCCTCTAAGGGGCTGTGGCCTGAGATGTTAGTTGTCATGCAAAGGGCTCCTGGGCATCAACTTCCCTGGGGCTAGAACAGCCACAGCGTGTGCAAGGGAATAGCACCGCCACCCTCTGGAGCTCAGAGGAAGGCCAGACCCAACACTACCCTGTCCTCTGGGCACCACCCAAGGGTGGATGGCAGAGCCAGGCCCTGCCCCAGCTGCTGTCCCCATTGTGGGCTACAATTTCTTAAAGTCTAGCACCACTAAGGGCACTATCCTTGTATCTCATTCTAAACGTTTTTCTTTTAATTATGAAACAGATACCAGGAAGAACAAAAAACATAAAACAAATGGACAATGTAGTATTCCCTTTGTGTAACTTCCACCAGGCCAAGAAATAACATCAGGAGATCCCTGAGACGTCTATGTGCTCCTTCCTAGTTATCAGACATCTCCCCACCTCAGAAGTAACTTAATTCCTTGCTTTTCTTTGCAGATTTTTTTCCTTTGTCATGCTGGGGATGGACCCAGGGCCTCCTGCATGCCAGGCAAATGCTCCACCACTGAGCCACATCCTCAGTCCTTTCTTTCTGTAAGTTTTTAACACTGACATGTGTATCTGTAAACACTGGATCCACCTCATCTGTTCTGGCTTTTCCCCGTAACACTATCCTATGAGGTCTGCCCATACTGCTGAGTAGCTGTGGTTTGTTCTCTTTTGGCTGCCTGGCATCCTCCATGGGAAAAACACACGTGTCTGGCCATGCTCTGGCAGGGACGTCTGGGCTTGTGTGAACAGTACTGCCCCAAGCAGTGTGCACACATGCCGAGGTAAGCACAGCTGTTCTGCTGTAGTGGACACTGCCTTGCTACCTTCTTTTTTTTTTTGGTACCGGGGGTTGAACTCAGGTCTTTGTGCTTGCAAGGCAGGCGGCAGAACCACTGAGCTAAATCCCCGGCCTGCCTTGCTACCTTCTAAAGGGTTTGTGCAGCCAGGTGTGGTGGCACACACCTGTAATCCCAACACTTAGGAGGCTGAGGCAGGAGGATCACCACGAGTTTGAGGCCAGCCTGAGTTACATAGTGAGTTTAGGGCCAGCCTGAACTACAAAGCAAAACCCTGTCATAGTATATGCCTTTATCCCAGCACTGGAGAAAGCTGGACACTGTGAGTCCCAGGCCAGCCTGGACTACATAGCTAGATCTTGTCTCAAAACACCCTAAAAATATTTTTAAAAAATATACAGCTTGTGCTAATAGACACTCCCACCAAAGCTGGGACTGCTCACAGGGGGTTTGGAAAAGTCCTTGCTGCGGAACCACAGGCTGACTCCTTGGTGTGAATCCCACAAGTGTGCCGCCTTGGACCCCACGTATGCTTGCACCCCCCTCACCCCAGCCACCTGCTCACCTTGATGTCTCGGTACACCACGTCCCGTGAGTGCAAGTACTCGAGAGCCGAGACAATCTCTGCACCATAAAACCGTGCCCGGTCCTCCGTGAAGACTCGTTCCCGGGACAGGTGGAAGAAGAGCTGCAGGGAGGGTGGGGAGGAGGTCACAGCCCTGCGCCCTTGGGCCCTGCGCCCCACCACCAGCTCTGTGACATGGCGCCATGGGAACTGAGTAAGGGACAGTGAGTTGAGAAGTGCTCATAGGAAGGAAGAAAAAAGGGCAGCGGATGAAGAGTGACAACAGCCAGTAAGTGCCAACAAGAGGCTCTGGGCGACAGGATGAAGGGACAGGTGAAGGAGGGAGTAACAGCAGGAAAGCAAGGAGAAACACAAGTCATGAGCAAGAGACAATAAACTGTGAGCAAGACCAAATCAAATGAAGCAAACAAATGAGCCAGTCCAGTAAGTCCATCTACATGCAGAGAAGACGGTGAGGGTCAAGTGGGTGACAAGGAGACAGGGGACATTTATCTATACAAGGAGGGGGAGGACCCAGGGACCAGAGGGCTGGCCGACTTTAACACTTGCGTGCTTTCTTCAGAGTCTCTAGGAACATCCTTCCGCCCAGTCACCTAAGTACCCCCACAGCCTCTCTCCACGCCTTTCTGGACCCGGTTTGGACCCTCCCTTCAACAACTTGTTCACTAGCTGTGTGATCCTGGCAAGCCTCTTAGCCTCCTGAGTCTCACTTCCTCCGCCTACGAAATAGAGATGATGCCACCTACTTCAGAGAGCAGGGCAGGGGGCTGGGACTTGTTATTCACTGTTAGGGCTGTGTCTAGATGTCCCCTCAAAACCTCATGTAGTCATAGGTGAGGCTTTTTCAGAGGTGGCTGGATCTACAGTGTGTGACACTGGGATTGATTCATGGTGCAATGCTAGGCTCAAGGGCACTAGGGTTACGGGTGTGAGTGGTACCTGCCCTAAATAGCCTGGATAAGATATAAGGGAAAGAGCTGTGGTTGTCCCTTGTTGCTCTGCTACCTTCTGCCCACTATGAACTGTTTCTCTTCTGCGATACTACCCTGCCTTGAAGCCAGACGATTATAGACTGAAACCTCTATAAACTGTGAGCTAAATAAACCTTTCCCCCTTTAACGTGGGATGTCGGGTATTTTGTCTCAGCAATGAGAGAAAAGTAACTAAGACATTCACTAAGCCTCCCTCCAGCCCTTCCATCGAAGGCAGCCCCCTAACCCCCACAAAGAGACACCAACTAAGTCAGGCCAGGTGGCTACTGCTCACCTCCCCGCCATTGGCATACTCCATCACGAAGCACAGGCGGTCATGGGTCTGGAAGGCATACTTCAGTGCCTGCAGAATGAGGGCAGGAGGGCACTGGGGTCAGACATAGGGAAGGAGAGGGCTCTGCCCGGATTCTCCACACAGACACCCCTACTCCCCACCCCAGCCAGGAGCCATGGGAGTGCAGCAGATGGGTTCAACTTCCAGGCACAGCTGGGGAGAAACCAGAACTATGACTTCTCTTTTTAACAGTAAAATATACTAAATGCTGTCTCCTGAGTGCATACACACACACACACACACACATGCTGTGGCTGGCTGTGGCAATCAATGGTTTAGAAACCGACTTCAAAGACAGGACAGACAAACTGTCAACCAACAAAGAGTAGTTTAGGGCTGGGGATTTAGCTCAGTGGTACTGCGCCTGCCTCGCAAGTGCAAGGTCCTGAGTTTGATCCCCAGTACAAAAAAAAACAAAGAGTAGTTTAGTTCCCAAACTGTGCTCTAGGGAGGAGTATTCTTCAGAGGCCCTCAGGAAACCCCTGTTACAGCTCTATAGTGCCTTGTACTACACCCTGAGGTGCACTGGTAGATCTCATCTGAACAAATGTTACAGCTTAATAGGATACCTGATCAGCAACTGAACTAAAGAAATGGCACATATAGCTGGGCCTGGTGGTGCACACCTGTAACCCCAGCAACTTGTTAGGCAGAGGCAAGAGGATCACAAGTTTGAGCCCAGGCTGGGCAGCTTAGCAAGTCTCAGAAAAAAAAAAATTAAAAGGACCAAGGATGTAGCTCAGTGCAAGGCTTTGGATTCAATCTCCAGTTAAAAAAAAAAAAAAGGCACATCAGCTACCCTCAATCTAGCCCATTGAGGTGATAGCCACCAGCCCTGATGGAGACAGCAGCCCAGCAGATACTCCAAAGAGGTAACCACCTGGCCTAAGTTGACAGGAGATACAAGAATAGCACATCATGGTACTTTAAAAATCAAAACAGGGCCAGAGATTTAACTCAGTGGTTTTGCCGCCTGCTGCACAAACACAAGGACCCAAGTTCAATCCTTAGTACCAAAAAAAAAAAAAAAAAAAATCAAAACAAAACAGGGCCAGGGATTTAGCTCAGTGGTTCCACACCTGCCTCACAAGTGCAAAGTCCTGAGTTCAATCCCCAGTACCAGAAAAAATTAATTAATTAAAATCAAAACAAAACAAAAATATCTTCCCACTTGGCCAAGGTGGGCTAAGCACCCCTCACTCACAGAGACAGCTCTCCTGGGGCTGTCCTGTCAGGTGATTTCTCGGGTCCCTTAAGGTGCCTACATGAACTCACCGTCTATGAAAACGATACCACCCCAGTGCTTGGTTCAGGCAATATGGGGAGGCAGTGGCAGCCTGCCTCATCCGCCTGACCTGTACCAAGGCTATGCTTTTTCCCCAAATTCTGCCCAAGTGTGCTGGCCTGAAGTGAAGGCCCCCACTGCCTGAGAAGGCAAGTGAGACTCACAGTGAGGAAGGGGTGCCTGGTGTTCTGGAGGACTCGACTCTCGGTGACTGTGTGGGCGACTTCATCCTGCAGACAGAGAGTGCGAGTAAGCAGCTGAGACAACACCATGTCTACCTACCTCACCACCAGTTTTAACAAGAAAGGGGAGCAAGAACTTGGGAAAATGCAATTCCATTATAAAAGCAAAAAGAATGACAAGAATATGATAGGGCCATTTGCAAGCTCTAACTAAATAATGAATCCAGACAACAGTAATCAGTGGCTTTCTTAAAAGCACAAGGTGAAAAGCCAATGCAGACTTTACGATGGAAGCATGAGGGCTGCGCCCCCTAAACCCAGGCCAACTATAACATCCTGCTATGATCTGGATCTTGAACATCCCCTAAAGCCTCATGTGTTGATGACTTGGTCTCTAGCCTGTGGTCCAATTGGTAGGTGCTGGAACTTTTAGATGGTAGGGTCTGGTAGAAGCAAGGTAGGTCACTGGGAGTGTGTCTTCAAAGGGATACTGGGACAACTCCCCGTGCTTCCGACTGCCATGAGATGAACAGGTCTCTGCGAGCTCCCCACCATGATGTACTGTGTGTCTGCAAAGGTCTAAAGCAAAGGAGCTAAGCCTCATGGCTTGGAATCTCCAAAGCTATGAATCAAAATAAACCTTTTGTCCTTATGAGTTGCTTATCTCAGTTATTTTGTCACAATGATGCAAAGCTGGCTAGCATGCATTAGTACAGAGAAAACAAGCAGACATTATAAGACCCCTGAGACAGAGGATATAGGATTCGGCAGCTATAAAGTATTCTTGCCCAAAGAAGGAACTGGATCTAATCAAGGCCCTAGAGTAAACCAGTGCTTCTCAGGGTGTGGTCCTCACACAGGCTCCATCAGCAGGGCCTGGGAACTGGTAGAAATACAAATTTTGAGGCCCCACCCTAGCTCCACTGAGCAGAAACTGGGGGATGCGGTGGGGGACATCCCTGCCTCACAAGCCCTCTGGCTGACTTAAACACAAGGCCAACATCGGGTCCGACCAAGATCAGGCTCACCAGGAGAACTTCGAAACCAAAGCTAGCTGGACACTGGCTCTCCCTTGGGCACATCCATCTCCAGGGGACGTCTAAGTCATTTTTTATTATCACAACTGGTGAGTGCTGGTAAACCTCTTAGAATGCACAGGACAGCGCTGCCACCCCCCCCAATAAAGAATGATGTGGCCCAAAATATTAGTGGTACTGAGGCTCACAAGGCCTTAGACCAATTATATCAGGAACTAATAGTTTCTTTTGTTGGATATGATCACAATACTGTATATATTTTTAAATCTTCATCCATTAAGGCACATTTTTAATTAAGTATGGGTGAAATGATATGAATATATAAAATAGTCCTTTAAATACTCCACAATCAAAAAGGGAGGGGAGGACAGAGCTAATGAAATAAGACTGAATTGCTTTGACAGAATGATCGCTACATGGCAGTCCACTTTATTTTTCTTCTTAAAAATTTGTTTATATTTGAAATTTTCTACTGCAGAATCTTTAAATAAGGCAAAAAGATAGAATTCCACTTATGACCCAGCTTTCAACAGCCTCCCCAGGTCCTTTATCAAGGTAAGGAGCCTCCTTCAGGCCTTGACAGCACCTACTGTGTGAGGCCCATGCATTTTCCACAGCCAGAGGTGGAGTGTGGGATTCGGGCCAATTTCCCCCTGGGCTCGGGTTCTCCTTCTCTGACTGGGGACCGAGTCCCAGAGGACAGGGTAAATAAGGCTATAGCAGTGGAAGGCCGTGGTGACACTGTTCCAGCCCTACAAGAGATCCCAAGTAGTCTCCCACCAGATTGTGGTCCCTGTTAAATCAGGAGGGCAGGGGGGTAGCTCGGTGGTAAAGCACATGATTCACATGTACAAGGCTCTGGATTCCATCCCCAGCACCACACAAACAAGATAGGAGGTCACTGTTTTTGCAGTGAGCTGCACTAGGCCATAGCAGACCATACCAAACCAAAATGGAGTCACTCAAACTAAATGCCAAATAATCACAAGGAAACAAACAAGTAGCTAGACCCCAAAACAGAGCAGTTTTTCTCGAAAACAGGAAAGTCCAGTCTACCTGAGTCAGGGTGATAAGGAAGTCTCCTCTGCTTTAACTCCTGCAAAGGGTAACCTGAAGTAACCTGTTGTTAACCAATCAGCTTTTTTTCCCTTGTTGCCACCTTACAAAACCCACTGTCTGCCATTGTCCAGCAGAAGCTTTCATTCTGTTGTGTAGAATGGAGTCTGCCCCAATCCATGAATCACAAATAAAAGCCAATTAGATCTAAAACTAAATTTGTTGTCATTTTGTCTCCTGACAGCCCTGAGGAAGCAAGCGCATGGCAGTCCTCAGAGCACTCACCTTGGCAATGATGACTTCCTTCCGCAGGATCTTCATGGCATAGTAGCGGCCAGTGGCCTTTTCTCGCACTAGGATGACTTTGCCAAAGGTGCCCTTGCCGAGGAGTTTGAGATAATCAAAGTCATTCATGGTCTGTGGGGTGGAGACAGAGCAGGGTCAGTCAGTGCTGGCATTTGGCCCATGGGAGGAAGTTTTAACAAAGAAAGAAGAAAACCAAAGGACGCTGTTGCCCTGGCAGAGGCTCAAGTAGGAGGGAGCTCTGGGAAGCAACTGTCCTGAGCAGCCTGCAGACCCAGGCTCTCCCAGGCACAGGCCTTGGATGTGGGACCTTGGAGCTCTACATGTGAGGAGAGCTGGGTGTTCCCAATTTCTTAAGATGAAGCCACAGGAGTTCTACCCAGGGTGTCCCCTCAGCCCATGGCACAGAGTAGCCCCTGAGACAACCACCCCATCCCACAGGACACGGTGCAGTCTCCAGGATGAAGCCCTGCACACTTTGTATGGAACCAAGGGAGACAAGGCCAGCACAGCCCCAGCCTCTGCCAAACCCCCAGCACTTACCACTTTGGCCCGTGCCTTGCTGACTGCCACTTCCATCTCCTCAGCCGTGGAAGAGTCACTTGGGGAGCCACATTTGTAGTCCATGGGATCCTCACCAGGGACTCGCTGCTTGAGGCTGTTGGCGACCATCTGGATGGCCCGCATCCACTCCTCCCTGTGTGGAGACACACTTGAGTCCCTAGCCTCAGGACTGGGAGGGCTAAAGGTCACCTCCTCCAATGGGAGAGCAGATACCAAACCCCTTTGGGGGCTTTGGGGAGCACTGACTGAGCCAGGCAGAGCTAATGGGGCCTGACACTTTACAGGTAGGGGAAGTGGACCAAGAGAGGGATCATCCATCTCCCAGGAGTGGCCTGACAGGAGGGCCCCTTGAAGCCAGGCAGCTCTGAAATGATCAAAGAGGGGAGGTTGCTTTTGTTCACCATTGCCCCACCCTAGAATGAGGGAGGGCCAGGGCTCCTCTAACTCCTAAAGAACAAATAGCCAGTTCAAGTGTATAAGTCACTAATGTCTTATAAAGGAAAACCAAGAGTAAAAGAAAGTATCCAACAGCCAAAGCAGCTGAGATTCTCATAAGGCCAGAGCTGGCCAGCAGGACAGCCCCTGGAGGGGATGGATAGTCTGCCGGCCAGGCCCTGTGTACACCCAGGCAGAGCAGGGTTAAAACCTGCTGGGAAGGAATTTTTTAACACCTGCAAACTTTCTTTCTAGTTAAGTGCAAATGACCAGAGACAAAAAATACAGGGCCGGGGATAGAGCTCAGTGGTTCCGCTGCCCCCTGCCTTGCAAGCACAAGGTTCCGAGTTTGATCCCCAGTACCAAAAAATTAAAAAATTTAAAAATGCAGATTAAAGAAAAATATTAGGCTGAATGCCTATCCACATCCCCTCATTTCTGACTTATCAGTTAGTAGGTGGTTCAACCCAATGCACTTGAGTGCCTGTGTATTGTGTTTGTGTCTAAAAAAAACATGACTAGTGGGAAAAAGAAAATATGTTCACTAAGAATGAGACATTCAAAGAGCAAGTAAGCAGGCAACTTCCCAAATCTCAGTGATTGAAATAAGCCACAGTGAGTGCAGACAGTTCTGTCAGGAGCCAAGAGCAAGCCGAACCCTTCACATGCATCCTCCAGAACTGCCCTCACAGCAAGTGCTGCAGCTCTGGTGCTGCCCAGGCACCAAGGCCCCCTGCCCATGGTCCCCGGGGCACAAGTGGAGAGACTGGGCCTACAAGCCTGAGCTTCTGCCCAAGACCCCTTCCCTGGGTAGCAAGCAGGACCACTTTTATTCCCATCAGTCCTGCAGCACACATTTTTCCATGTTTTGACACTGGTGAACACAGTCACATCTTGGAGTCAGCAGTCTGTCATCATTTAATTGGGCACTGCTATCCCCTGGTATTATATAAAAGCATGTCTTCCAGATGGTGGCATCTTAGACGTAATGGAGCATGCCAGCCATGCTTCACGCAGGGTTCTTGTGGGATGGCGAGATCGCATGGGAAACATCTACACAGTGAGACTGCAGCTAAGAAAGAGGCAGGTCTGGGTGAGGACTGTCTAGAGATCTCACATGAAAAAAAGGAAGGTTCAGAATTGTGTGGAGTTCTGTACTATCGGAGTTAGAAAATAAAGACTTTCTGCTCACACATGCTCACATAAACACAAATATCCTGCCTGAGTAGTCAGGTCTCTGGAGCCCTGACCGTCTTCAGGGAGGGAAGGGGAACCCGGAGCCAGAGGACCAGAAGAGGCTTCTAAAAACCACAGAGCACGCACTCTTATTAACCACTCCCATACTGCCTCATTACAAAGGATGAAGCTGAGACACAGATTTAAAAAACAAACTCAAGAAAAAATACAGTAGTTGCCCAAGCCTCAGAGCCAGACTCACAAAAGGCCAATGGCCTCCCTGAGGGCAAGGCTGCTGCTGCTCAGCTCTGGGGTTTGCTGCACCAAGCAAGGACTAAGCTCAGCACCCCAGTAAAGCACAAGGGGTTCTGCCTTCTTCAGCTGGCCTCACTCACACATTTTTCTGTCCTGCTTTATAAGAGATAACATGAATATCACACCATGCTTCACAGGACAGATGCGATCAAGTGCTGACATACTGCCCCTCCCCACCATGCAGACTAGGTCGGCCCTGCAGGGCAGGGATTTGCATCTGCTTTGAATGTGGTGCACCCCCAGTACAGACGGGCACTCTGTAAGTATCTAGGTAATCACCAAGAGAGGCAGCCCTGGGGCACAGTGAGGCCAATGCTTGCTCAAGCAAGGCGGCTTGGCCTCTTTCCTCTCTGACCCGATGCCTCCAGCCAGTATTTCTCAACTGGCTTTAACCTGTACCTCCTTTGGAATAAGTTGCACCCTAAAACCCAATCCCTATATTAGTATTACTGTTTTCCAAAAAGGGGGGGGGGGGCTAGAAACACATCCCATGATATGCTTTATCAACCACAGCTGTCCTCTCTTAGAAAGTTTAAAATGTTAATTTCACTGGGCATAGTGGCACAATACCAGCACTTGGGAGGCTGAGGCAGGAGGATCACTGTGAGATTGAGGCCAGCCTGGGCTACATAGTAAGTTCAAGCCAATCGAAAACTACATAATCCTGCCTCAAAAAAACCAAAAATAAGTAAATAAATTCAATTAAATTAAATGTTTATTTTGGGGCCGGGATTTAGCTCAGTGGTTCTGCTGCCTGCCTTGCAAGTGTAAGGTCCAGAGTTTGATCCCCAGTACCCCCCAAAAATGTTGATTTTGAGTGTTAAGGTGGGGTAGATTGAAAAAGAAAATCACAGATCTCCTAAGAAAAATATGTATCTCTCACGTAGAGATTCTGAGGGACTGTCACCTGGGGTGGGGTCAGGAGCTGCCCCCCTGCCCCCTGCGTGCACAATGGGTGCTGGGCCAGACCCAGAAAGCTCTCACCTCATGGAAGATGTTTTGAGGACACAAGGAGGAAGGGGTCCCTTGGGCTCTCCTGCAGCCTGACCAGCCACATGTCCAGTTCCAAATGGACCAAGGTTGAATGGTTGCAGCACTCAGAATCCAGAGTAAAAGCAAAGGCCCCTGTCCAGGACATTCCTCAAGGGTTTGCAACACAGTGTCTGGGGCAGAGGGGAGATCCCACACAAAAGGGACCCCCAGTAGGAGACCGCCAGGGAAACCCACCCACTTCCTAGCCAAAAAGCAACTAGAGAAGTAACAGCAGTAAATGGCCAGCTCCACAGCCACTAGTTCATTTGATTCTCAAGAACATGGGGAGGAGATGCTGATGTGGATACTGAGGCACACAGAGGCAGAGTCATCCCTGGCAGTCACCCCACCAGACCAGGCAGAGCTGAGGCTCGTGCCTCAGACCACTCTGCCCCTCGCTGGCCCCATGCTACCTTTTCCTGTGCCAGTGGTCCAGAGGAGCTACAATTCCTAGACAAGGCTCAAGAGGATCAAGTGAGGATACTCTCAAGAAGGTTCAAGGAGCAAGGGACATCAGGCCATGGGGGCCAAGGCCAAAGTAGAAGGACATCACCCCTCAGAGCTGTGACATGGTGCACTTTCCGGACAGGACCTCCCCCAGAAAACACCACCACCACCACCACCACCACCACCACCACCACCACCGACGCCCACCATGCCTTTAATCCTCCCAACCCTCCAGGCAGCAGGTACTGTTAACGTCATTCTATAAACAGGAAGACTGAGACACAGGGAGGGTGACATTTGCCCACATACATAGCCAACAAGCAGAGGCCCAGGAATGTAAACCCAGATGTTCCTATGTCACCCAAGAGCCCTTCTTCTACTTGGGGTACTTTCCATGGCCTTCTCATCCCTCACTTGGGCTCTGGGGCCACAGGAGGGACATTTGGGCAAGGCCTAGCACACAGTACAGGCTGGGAGTCGGGAGTCAGGGCTGGGCCTTAGTTCCATTGCACACTGGCTTCCTGCCCCTGAGGGAGCCCAGCTTCCCCGGCCTCCCATATCATCCAGGGCTCAGTGTTGAGAGCAGACTCTGGAGCCAGTGGCCTGGGTAAAAACACAGCTCTGCCCTTTCCTAAAGCCGCACCAGGCAGGTCTGGCAGCACATGAGACACTGGATACAATGAACATAGAATGGCGCCTGGCACAAAGGAAGTCCCTCAAAGGGCTGTGAGGACACACACCGCCAGCCCACCAGTATCTGCTCAGTGCCTTCTACAAGTTAAGCCTTGGCCTGGACACTGAGGAGGCAGCGGAGAACAAATCTGAAAGGACAGTAGCTCCCCCTTAACCGTGGTTCTGCTTTCCACAGTCTCACCTGCAGTTAGTGGTGATACAAATATACTGAGTGGAAAATTCAAGAAACAACTTAGAAGTTTTAAGCTGGACATCACTCCTAGGGTTCTGATGAAATCTTGTGTAATCCTGCTCTGTCCTTGTATTATTAGTTGCTGATCTCTTACTGCACCTAATTTATAACTTTAACCTTATCACAGTATGTGCATGGTTAAAAACACAGTATACTCAGGGCTGAGTGCTATTTAGTTCCAAGCATCACTGGGGCTGGGAACACATGCCCTTTGGGTGAGGCAGGACTATGCAGCAAGGCAAGGACCAGAGGTAGGCAGGGAGGCTCTCTGAGGAGGGGCCACTCAACCCAGGCAGGACCTGAGAGATGTTACTAGAACATGGACCATCCTCAATGCCTGCAGCAGGCATCTGGCTGTGAAAATCAGTGAGACAGAATGATGGAGCCAGCTGCACAGACAGCTGGGGACGGAAAGGATCCAGGGAGAGAGAGCAACAAGGCAAAGCCCCAGGGGAAGAAGTCTGACGTGTCTGCAGATGGCACAGCAAGTGCCAGTATCATGGGGCCAGCCCAAGAGTGGAGAGGATGAGAGCAGAAAGAAGGACAGAGCCAGACTAGGACAGGAGGGAGTGTGCTCTGTGGGCTACCTAAGTTAGGGGTCCAGGTCTTGATCCTTAACACCACATGATGTGGCTAGAGGGTTACACAGGTGGCAACAGCACTGATTTCCGTGTCGAGGCAGTAGCTGCAGGCTGGGGCCACATCCTCCAGGTGAGGGATGCCAGTGACACAGGAGGTGAGAGAAACACACAGCAGCCTTGGGGGCCAACGGACTCCATGCTGCAGGCCCTGGAGGCTTCTGCTGCTCCCTCCCTCATCTTCACGGACAGCAGGGAGCTGAGTCCCAAGAAGGGACAGGGCAGGCAGCCACTCTGCTCCAGAGCCTGGGCTCACCCCTGTGCTGTCCACCGAGCAGGACCCAAAGTGCCTGATGAGAATGTTCAGTGAGGGGGATGACTGGGCTCTCCCCCACCTAACATGAGGAGTATGAACTGACTTGGTGGACTGTGGGGAGGGGCTCTCTCCCAACACATGGCCCCCCTGACCCAGAGGGGCGATTATGGCTAGAGGCATCTGGAGTCCCTCTCTGCTAACACACCTTCAGCCTGTGGGATAAAGTAAATCACTAGACCTATAACCCTTACATTGGGATCTGCCTCACAAATAATTGGTTTTAATGGTTCTTTTATTCATCCAACAAACATTCACTGACCACCTATTTGTTTCAGGCACAAAAAATAATAAATATAAAATACTACACTTGGTAGATAAGTGCATTAGGAAAAATGAAGCTGAGTAAGCGTAGACAGTCATGGTGGGCAGATGCTCTCAGATGCTCTGAGAAGGCTATGACAACTGAGCAAAGACCTTGAGAAATTAAGGAGACAGCCTTAGAAGCATCTGGGAAAGGGGGTCCTAGGCAAAGGGAACAGGAAACGCTAATGCCGAGGCAAGAGTATATTCAGCAAGTGTAAAGGGGCAGGACTTGAAAGACATGGCACATACCCTGCAGTTTACTCCAAGTGTGACCAAAAGTCACTTAGAGTTCTGAGCAAAGAAATTCCAACAAAAAAGATCACACTAATCTGATATGCTACTGAGCACTCCTGTCAAAGTTATAGATCTGAAAACTTTCTCCATAGAGGGCTGACAGCAAATTTTCAGGCTTTGTGGGCCACAGTTGCTGTCACAATATTACAGCAGCACAAAGCAGCTAGGGCCAACTCATAATAAATTGACGTGGAAGTTTTGCAACAGAAGTACCAAAGCAGAAGCAGGGTTGTATTTTGCCAACCATGCTGCAGACTGAACTCCTGGTTTATAGGAAAGATAAGCATGGGGCAACAGAGTAACAGTGCCAAAAGGCATTAAGATGACGTTCAGAATGTGAGACAGCCTGCACATCAACTAGCCTGGCTTGTCAAAAATATCCATGTCTGAGCAGAGACGGTAGAGGGGAGAAAAATAAAGGGCAGAATTAGATTAAAACAGGATGGGGCTGGCTGTGGTGGTGCATGCTTATAATTCCAGCTCTTGGGAGGCTGAGGCAGGAGGAATGCTGTGAGTTCAGCCTGGATACAGTGAGTTCAAGACCAACCTGAACTACATAATGAAAGCTTGTCTTAAAACAAACAAACAAAACAGGACAAAGAGTTGACCTGTACCTTGAATTAATCCTGATTTCAAAATCAACCCATTTTAAGGCCAGGCATGGTGGCATATGCCTCTAAACTCAGCATTTGGGAGACAGAGGTAAGAGGATCACAAATTCAAGGTCAGCCTGGGCACATTAATGACTTAGCAAGGCCCTGTATCAAAATAAAAAAGGCGCTAGGAATATAGCTCAATGAAAGGCTCTGGTTTCAATCACCATTATATAAAAAAACAAAATAGAAAACCAATTTGAATAAGGATCAAAATGTATAACTGATAATGTGAAATAGGAAGAAAGAGTCTAAAAGGATAGGGGAAATGGAAGATACAGAGGAAAGGAAAGAAGGGAAAAGAAAAATATGAGAAAAGGAAAAAATGGAAACAAAGCTTTTGTAAATAGGGACGGGTGGAGGGGTTGAAGGGAGGGCAGGGGAATGGGGAAAAACTAAGAACCAAGATATATCATGTAAAGGTACAAGATCCCAATGATGAATGTAACTGCATTATATACCTAAAATGTGCCAATAACTTAATGGAAAAAAAAATCAGCATACAAAAAAAAAAAAGAAAAGAAAACCATTTTGAATATAACTTGGGAAATCCAAGTATGGCATGGGTAGAGAGGAAATACATATTTGGATATGCATCCCTTACTCAAAATGCTTGAGACCAGGCATATTTCCAATCTCAGAGATTTTGGTTTTCAGGATATGTACATGGACTTTACCATATGATTGAGCATCTCTAATCCAAATATTTGAAACGCTTCAAAGTGACACTCAAAGTTTCATATTCTGGAGCACCTCAGATTTCAGATTAGAGACGCTCAACCTGTATCTCAGGGGTGACGCAAGAGAAAACCCTTATTCATAGCAGATGAGTAAAGTATGAACAAGTGGTCAAGATTCAGCACAAAAGAATAAAAATGAAAACAACAAAAGCCAGATGAGGCAAACATGGCAAAGGCTAAACTGCAGAATCGAGGTCCAGGGTACCTACAGGCTCCCATGTTACACCTTTCCTTCAACTTTTCTACATCTGAAACAAGCTGCCAGTTGGGTAGGGGCAGGAAGGGTTGCCGGGGAAGCAACCAGCAGCACAGCGAGGCGGGTGCTGAAGTGTCTAGGCAGTGTCCACCCCCACCGTGCCTCCCATCAGCCCTGCCACCCCGTCTCTCCCCAGGCTCAGGGCAGCCAGGAACCTCCAGTCCAGGTTGGGTGGGTGGGGCAGCAAGGACAGCATCAGCCAGCTGTGAGCAGAGTGGAGGGTCCTCCCCTTGCTGGATTCCTGGCTTCTACCTGCTCAGGTCTAGGGTCAGAAATCGGAGGTTTGCAGACCCTGGGGCTGACCCAGTGGTTTTCTCTCCAGAGGACAGCAAAAGGTGCTAAGAAAAGGAAAAAGGCAGGCGGACATTTCAGCCCCCAGTGTCTCAGTAATTGGAGCTTCCCCATATTGAACGGTACCAACTGTGCAAAAATGGAAAGTAGACCATCTCTCTCGCCTACTAAACCACTCTGGCGGCTCCCCACTGCTCCTTTTCCAGGCTTGTAAACCATGTGCCAGGTTTGCTAAATCAAGGGCTTCCTGTTTATCATTCCCCTGAATCTCTTACCAACACTGGGATAAACCCCAGTTTATTAAGTGCCTGCCAGGCCCTGCAGGGATCTCCATCTGGGGGCCAAAAACCCTGGCTGGGCTCTCCAGCCTCAAGCGCCTCCATTTCCCGTCTTCCAAGACTCCTGCCCCTGGACTCTCCGGTGACGCAGAACCCTCTGAGGTGCCTGGAACACACACTGTTTCCCCTCCAAACCTCCCTGTAGCTGCTTAGCCCTTTTTCTTGGGCCATGGCCAACTCCTAACCATCCTTCAAAACTCATTCCAACACCTAGGTCCTAGACACTTAGCAGTCTAGAGTTGCTTTCTCAGGTAGCCCATGTTTCGATCTCCAGTATTCAACTGACTCACACCTCAGCTGGCCCAAGATGGTAACTCTGTTCCCCTTGGCGGAGCAAGTGTACTTTTAACCTTGGGGAGATATGCAACGATAATTACAGTACAGACTGAGTATCTTGTGATATAGCGCTGTACAGGCTAGAAGCGCACTGTCCAACGGTAGCCACTAGCCACATGTATGGCTACTGAAACTGAATAAAATCAAAATTCCATCCTTCAGTCACCCTATTTCAAATGCTCAACAGGCACATGCAGCAATAGGCCCCTGAAGTAGACAATGCAGACCTAGAACATTCCTGATATGGCAGGAGCTGTCTTGGAGAGTCCTGTTTTAGGCTTCTCCAGGGGTTCAGCCGAACCCCTACCCTGCCAAAGAACTTGGGGAGTGTTTTTCAAACCAAGGTCCAAAAAAGATAAAGTGGGAGGAAAAACGTTTGCCACCCATTATAAAGGGTCAAGTTCAGATATAAGTAAGAAAAAGACGAACTACCCAATAAAAAAAGAGATGAACAATATAGACAGTTCAGGGGAAAAAGCCCCCAAGGCCCTTGAGGGTCAAACTCATCCAGAGAAAGACAAACCCCCTGCAATTCCCCTGCTCAGACTGGCAAAAATCCAAATGCTTGAAAACACTGGGCTGTGGGGCCAGTCACAGACAGGGCCTGACAGAAACATCCCTCAAATCTATAAATGCAGATTCCCGTGATCAGCACCCCTACAGCTAAGAGTTCCTCATCCAGACAGACCCACCTACACAGGAATCAAGGAGCTCCACTGTAGCACTGCCTGGAATGAGCCAAAGGCTGGGAACCTCCTCAGCCACCGACAAACTGCTAAGTAAACTGAGGGACACAAGTGTCCAGCTGTTAAAAAACCAAAACAAACATTGTGGTGACAGTGCAGCTCTCTACACATGGAGGCAGAAAGACTCCCCAAGATCCACTGTGAAGTGAGAGAGGCAGGTTCAGAACAGCATGGGTGTAACATGACCTTCAGGGTGCCAAGGACCCCATCTGCTCTTCGAGCACGCAAAACACAGTAGTTCACCGGGGAGGGAAGATGGACAGACGGGGAAGACATGGCAGTAAATGTCTGAGTCTTTTGTTTGTTCTGAGGAGCTGGGGGTGGGATCAAGGGCCTCACCTGCTAGGCAAGCCCTCTGCCACTAAGCCACACCCCTAGCTATGGTCTGATTTTTGAACCAGAAGAATTTCTGCCATTTCTTCCAATTATTAAATGATCTTTTTTAATACTCTTCTGAACCACTGCTTTGGAACCAAGAGATACTCATTAGGAACACAGCTTACTGACCCTCTGCAGATCACCAAGTAAAAGCTCTGCCTGTGACTCTGTTGTGCCCTCAAGTCTGCAAATACAGGGAGGCCTTTAGACCAAGAACCACAGCTCTTCTCAGCTCTAGCTGGAGAGACCCCACACTAGAAGAGCTGTGGACTATAGGGTACTGCGGGAATCTATCCATCTGCACCCCTCCCCCTCCCACCTGGCTTGGCCACTCTCAAAGGGCAGCCACATGGAGGCCCAGACTCACCTCTCATCTGGAGAGTCTACATGGAAGGTCCTCTCAATGACCGTGGTCCACTGCAGGCAGCGTATGACAAAGGTGTTAGGCCGTGGCCTCTCGGTCTTCATCAGCTGGCATTCTGCGGTGGGGGAAGAGACAGTTGGGGGAGGGGACAGGGCCAGCCCGCTGTCCACACTGCAAGTCCTAAGCCACTTCCAATGTCCCCAGCCCTATGCTAATGGTGCTCAGAGCCCTTGAGAGACCGAGAGGCCCCAACCTTGCCATCACAAGGCTCAAAATCCAGCATGCATGGAAGGCAACCAGACCACCAGACAATGACACCTCAGTCTTCAGGGCTGGGATGGTAAAAGCCAGAGGTGGCATCCAGCCCAGCCTGGGGCATCCCTGAGGAAGAGCCATCTCTGAACTGAGCCCTGAAGGCAAGGGAACTAAGTCAGTGAGGTGGGAGGGGCCCAACATATGCAGGAGATGGCCAGCCTTGCTCCAAGCAAGCAGGGAAGAACCAAGATGCAGAGGCCAGCCAGCAAGGCTTTGGAGACCATGGGGAGGAATCTGAACTTTGTCCTTGGGGTAGCAGGAAGCCAAGGAAGGGACATGAAGAGCCCAAGACAAACCCCTCTGGCCGCCGTGGAGGGTGAGGGTGGAAGCCAGGAGCCAGGGAGGAGGCTGGGGCAGGAACCAGCTGGAGAGGACATGTTGAAGCAGAGCGGCGCATAGGCAGGGGCCAAGGGTGGGAGGAGAGGGGAGGAGAGGGGAGGAGAGGGGAGGAGAGGGGAGGAGAGGGGAGGAGAGGGGAGGAGAGGGGAGGAGAGGGGAGGAGAGGGGACTCTGGCCCTGGCCCAGGCCTCAGCCTTGGCCTCCAGCCTGAGGTCTAGGGCACAAGAGGACCGGTCCTGAGATGGAGATGGGGAGGGAAACTGGAAGGTCAATCTGGGACAGGGTGAGCATGAAGGACCCAGAGGACAAAATGTTCAAGAAGAAAGGAGAGAAAACATTCAAGAAGCTGCTGAAGAGAGACAGATAAAGTTCGAGACCCTGGGGTCTCACAGGTATGTCACGACCATCGGCACATGGAGGACCCAGGAGAAAACTTTCCACAGAACAGTGTAGGGACTACGGCTGGGATTCCAGAGACTCAGGATGGTGGCCTGGAGGGCTGAAGCTGGGGAGGAAGCTGTAGCAGGGACCCGGGGAGAAGAAGGTGGTGGCACTGAAGAAGGGCTGCCTATGAAGCATTCTTACCAGGTTTGATAACCAAGACATGGTGCCAATCAGGTCAGTTGGGAAGGAAGGAGGCAGGGGACAAGATGCCAAGGGCAGGATCGTGTTCTGCAAGGACCAGCCAAGGACTTTAGACTTGGGAAGCTGGTCCAGCTAAAAACAAATACCACTTAGAATACCACAGAGGGAACCAAGGACATGAGGTTAGCCCTGTGATCAGCTGAGCAGGAAGCCATGACCCTTCTAGGTTAGAAGGACAGAGGGAGGAGGCTGTCACCAGAGCAGGATGGAACCACAGGGCCAGGTGAAGCTGGAACCAGGACCAAGGCTGGCTGGGCAGAAACACCCTTGGCTTCTCACCTCTCATGCTCCATCTCCCACTGGGACAGCCCCACAGGGCCCAGCTGACAAAGAGGAACAGCATGGGAAGAGTGGGAAGTAGACAGGCGAGCAGACAGGCCCAGAAAGGAGCTCTAGGTCAAGAATGACTGAGTCACCCCAGGTTCCTCCAAGACCTCCCAGCTGTTCGTTTCTTGGGCTCTAGAACCCCGGCCTGCTGGCCCTGACACACACCTGCTACAGAAAAGTTGTTTAAGGGAGGTAAAGTCTGGTCAGGAGCCTCAGGTCTCTCCTTATACCCAATGAAGGAGCCATCACTCTTCAGCAGGAAGTACCGGGGCCTCCACGTCTTGATATATTCCCCTGAAATGAGGCAGGAGGGAGAGAAAGGTCAGGGCAATGTTGTCCCAGACAGCCCAGCAGGCAGCCCAGCACAACAGTGACTCCCAAGAGGCACCAAAGTGGGAGGAGAGTGGATTACAGTGTCTCCCGGGGACCTCTCAAGGTGGCCCTGCTGACACAGGCTTGGGCACTGTCCTAGCCCAAATGATCTGCGGGTCATGCCTGGTAGGAAGGTGCCTGCAACAATGCCCCAAGGCACCAGCCGGCTCAGTCTATGGCCAGAAGCAAGCTATCCTTGCCAGCATAGGACTGTCCTAGAGGAGGCACATGCCCTCTAGCCCTGTGAGGCCAAATCCCAAGCACTGATTATCATCAACACAGTGGTCCAGGTGGATCAAATGTCAAAGTACTGCTGTGCCAGGTGGGCTCTCTGAGCACTCCTCAACCCCTTCCATTTGCTCTGACCATAAATATCCCAGCACCCTGTATGGGACACGTACACACTCTACAAGGACGCACTCCGCAGAGGGCCGCTGTGTTAAAATGAGATGGTGAAACACATGTCCACACAAAAACTGACACACAAATGTCACAGCAGCATTTCTCATAACAGTCAGTGGAAACAACCCAATGTCCATCAGATAATGAATGGATAAACAAAACATGGTGGAACCACACAACAGAATATTATCTGGGCATAAGAAGGAAAGGAAGTACTGATAAATGTTACAGTGAGGATGAACCATACCTTAACGCTAAGTGCAAGAAGTCTCTTTCAAAGGACCACCAAGTACAGACACTCACTGACTTACAGTGATTTGACTTTCTATAATAGTGTGAAAGGGATATGCAGTCAAGAGAAAGTGTACTTCAAATTTTGAATTTTGATCTTTTCCAAGGCTAGCGGTATGCAGCAGGATGCTCTCATAATACCGGGCTCCCTGTCAGCCATGCTATCATGTGGGCACTGTTACTGTGTTGCTAAGCTATAATGTTCAGCAGGTTACATATACTACATGCATTTTCAAGTTAACAATATTTTTAATTTACGATGGGTTTGCCAGGATGTAACCCCATGTAAATCATGCCAGTTAATCTTTTTTTTTTTTTTGGACACAGGGTCTCACTATGTAGTTCAGACCAGCCTTTAACTCACTATGTAGGCAAGGCTGACCAAGAACTCGAGGTGATCCTCCTGCCTCAGCCTCCCAAGTGTTGGGATTACAATGGTGACTCCCAGCCATGCAGTTAATCTTAACTGTCTATTTCACAGAATTAAGAGACTCCTGGAGAGGCAATTAGACCATGGTGACACTACACTCAGCAGTGGATTGAGCCACTGATGTTCATAGATGAATATGTCGACAAGGTGGAGCCCAGCTGAAGGTGGGTCATGGGGGGCAGGCCTTTGGAGGGGGGACCTCTCCATGGTACTCTTCCCCAGTGCTCGGCTTCCAGGCCAACGAGACACGAACAGCCTTACTTGTCCCATGCCCTTCTGCCATGATGGTCCTGCCCTGGTGCACACTGACCTCGGACTTCCAGAGAGCCCTATGAAGCCATGAGCCTCCTCCTGTAAGTTGCAGTGTCAGGTATTTTGTCCAGGGAACTGAAAAGCTGACCAATATGTAAGGCAAGCAGTGTATCTCTGTAGGAATCCACTTGGCATGCACAGTCTGGTGGAAGACTGGAGGACGACAGCCAACAGGAGGATGGCAGGGTTCTCTTTAGGATGGTAAACTGTCCTAAAATTGACAGCAGTGTTGGCTGCACAGCTCTGAATACATTGAGAGCTACTGCACTGTACACTTTACATGGCTGAATTGTAAAGCATGTGAATTGCATCTCAGTGATATGGCAACCTTGAAGCACTCAGAGAGAGCCCACCACACCACAGGCTCTCAGCAAATGCCCTTCATCACCAGCCCACAATGCAACCAGAGTATGCAGACCCCCTAATTCCCATGGCGCAGAGGTGGGCGGGAGGACAGGGTGGGCTCTGAGTTGTATTTGCTGTGTGGAACCCCCAGGTAAATCACTGTGCACGGTGGCCCATGCCTGTACTCTCTGCACTCTGGGAGGCTGAAGCAGGAGGATTGCCATGAGTTCAAGGCCAGGTGAACTACATAGCAAGACCCCGTCTAAAAAAAAAAAAAAATCCACAAAATAATTACTAGAGGGCCGGGGATTCAGCTCAGTGGTGTCGCCGCCTGCTGCACAAAAGCAAGTACCTGAGTTCAATCCCCAGTATGAAAAAAAAAAAAAAAATTACTAGAGCTAATAAACCCAGAACAAAAAAATCAGTTGCAGGGCTGGGGATTTAGCTCAGTGGTTCTGTCACCTCCCTCGCAAGCGCAAGGACCCGAATTCGATCCCCAGCACCAAAAAAAAAAAAAAAATCAGTTGCCTTTTTTTTTTTTTTGATACTGGGGATTAAACTCAGGACCCTGTCCTTTTGAGGCAGGCATGGTGCCACTGAGCTAAATCCCCAGCACTCAGTTGCCTTTCTATATACACTAGCAACAAACAAACCAAAAAGGACATTAACAAAATAATTCCCCCTAAAATAGTAAAAATTTTTTAAAAAGGGGCAGGGATTTAGCTCAGTGGTTCCGCCGCCTGCCTCACAAGTGCAAGGACCCGAGTTCGATCCCCGGTACCAAAATAAATTAATTAATTAATTCAATTTACAGTAGCTTTCACAAAAATTAAATAGAAATAATTTAACCAAGGGGGTAAAAGACTTTCACACTGTAACACTTTGAGAAAATAGGTACAGTGCCACCTACCTGTGATCCCAGCAACTCAGCAGGCTGAGGCAGGAAGATCACAAGTTCAAGGCCAGTCTGGGCAATTTAGGCCCTGTTGGGGGGGGGGACCACCGCCCACTGCTCCAGGGCAGGGGACAAGCACGGCTGCCCTACCATGGGGAACAACTCTCTAGGATTTACAAACATATTAATAAAAAAATTATAGAGTATAAGGTTTAAACAAAGGAAAACATTATATTGGATACTCTTGGAAAGGGGGGAAAAGGAGCAGAGATAACTACCCTAAGCAAATCAGAGTAGGTGGTTCCAGAAAGAGGGAGAGCCTGAGGGCCTCTGTCCTCAGCCCTTTTGATTAGTGTGGCAGAAAGACCCTCCTCCCCTGAGTTTATTATATCCTGACTGGATACTTTAGGCCCTAGGGTCCCGCTCCAGGTACCATCGTCTACGAGCTTTGTTTTTTTTGTTGTTGTTGTTCTGTCAGAAGAATTTATGGGTTTAAGCAGATTTTACATACAAAGTTGAGTTAGCAATTTAAAGGGGAACAGTGAGAGACTCCAGCCTCAGCCTCCAAAGTGCTGAGATTACAGGCATGTGCCACCACATCCCAGCCAAGAGCTTTTATGTGGTCGCCTTTTGTCTCCTTTGTAAGGTAGGGAAAGATAGTTAGGCAAGCTTGGTTAGGGGCCTGTCTGGCTCATCAGCTTTTGTCTTGTTAATTGTTTCCTCAGTGAAGTTTTTACTCTGTTTTGGTCTGGAACAGCCAGAAAGCCTAATGAGTCTTCTCCCTGTTTATAGACTCCTTTTCCCTATACTATCAGAAAATAAAAACATCTGAGCATATAGCTCAATGGCAAGGTGCTTGCCTGGCATTGTGCATAAGGCCCTGGGTTCAAACTCCAACACTGGAAAAAAAATCAATGAAAGGAACTGAAAACCTAAATAAATGCAAAGATCCTGTGTTCATGAATTGGAAGATAGTATTGTCAGAATGGCAATACTGTCCAAAGAGATGTACAGATGCATGAAATTCCCATCAAAATTCCAATAGCCTTTTTACAGAAATGGGAAAGGCAATCCTCAAAAATCACATGGAATTACAAAGTTCCCTAAATTGGCAAAACAATATTCAAAAATAACACTGTTAAAAGACTCACACTTCCCAATTACAAAATTTGCTATGAAGCTATAGCAATCAAAACAGTCTGTTGTTTTTTGGGGTTTTTTTGGTACTAGGGATTGAACTCGGGTCCTTGCGCTTGCGCACCAGGCGGGCGGAACCACTGAGCTAAATCCCCCGGCCCAATCAAAACAGTCTGGTATGCCAGGAATTGGAAGTTCATGACTGTAATCCCAGCACTCTGGGAGGCTGAGGCAGGAGGGTCACAAGTTCAAGCCCAGTCTGGGCAATTTAGTGACTTAGTGAGATCCTGCCTCAAAGTTTAAAACACTTTAATAAGGACCAGGGATGCAGCTCAGTGTGAACAGCCTGGGTACACTGATACACCACTAATAAGTGTAGATAAGGATGTGGAGAAACTGAAACCCTGTGCATTTTTGGTGGGAATGTAAAAAGGTGCAGTCACCTTGAAAGAGTTTGGTGCTTCCTCAGTGAAATATAGAATAAACTGTAATAAATATGAGATATATGACTCACATATCTGCAGTCATGCATATTAGATTATAGATATGTTACACACACACACACACACACACACACACACACACACACACACACAGTTTGTTTTTTGAAACAGAGTCTCGCTATGTAGCCCAGGCTGGCTTCGAACTCACATCAATCCCCCTGCCCCAGCCTCCCAAACACTGTAATTACAGGCATGCACCACCACACCCAGCTTCTAAATATATATTATAAATACAGAATACACAACCCAGCAATTCTTGGGGGTGTGTGTGTGTGTGTGTGTGTGTGTGTGGTTTTCGAGACAGGGTCTCCCTGTGTAGTTCAGGCTGCCCTTGAACCCATGGCAATCCTCCTGATTCAGCTTTCCAAGTGCTGGGATTGCAGGAGTGCTCCACCACACCCAGCCAACAGCCCTAGATATTTACATGGAAGAACTGAAAGCAGGTATTCAAATACTGTACATTTTGTTTAGAGCTATATTACTCACAACAGCCAAAGGGTAAACCCCAAAGCACATCAAAGATGAATGGATAAATAAAATGTGATGCTATGCAATCAATTGTTTAGCTATAAAACAGAAGGAATTAGTGACACATGCTGTTACACAGAAGAATCTCACAACTATTATGTTAAATGAAATAAGCCAGACACAAAAGGCCACATGTTATATGATTCCATTCATATGAAGTGTCCAGAATAGGAAAATCCATAAATATGGAGAGCAAACTGGTGACTGCCAGATGCAGGGAGGAAGAGTACATGGAGACTAACTGCTTAATGGGTACAAAGTTTTCTTTTGGGGTGATGAAAACATTTTGGAATTAGACAGAAGTAGTGGTTACACAACATCGTGAATATACTACAGGCCACTGAGCTGTACAATTTTTTTTTTTTTTTTTGCTACCCGGGATCAAACTCAGGACCTTGCGCTTGCAAGGCAGTGGGCCGAAGCAGTGAGCTAAATCCCCAGCCCTGTACAATTTTCAATGGTTAATTTCACATTGTGTAAATTTCACTTCCATTTAAAAGACAAAAACAGAAAAACTTAGGAGCTGGGGATCTAGCTCAGTGGTTCTGACGACTGCCTTGCAAGCAAAAGATCCTGAGTTCGATCCCTGGTACCCAAAAAAACCCCCAAAAAACCAGAAAAACTCCTGTATGGAGTTACAAGTTAGGAGAGCAGTTACTGCTGGAGAGGGACATGGGCTTCAGGCAGCCACCTGGCTCTGTTCTTTCTTTGCGGAGGGGTACCAGGGATCGAACTCAGGACCTTGAGCTTTCGAGGCAGCACAGCACCACTGAGCTAAATCCCCAGCCCTTGGCTCTGTTTCTTTATGGGGACACCAGCACAGGGGTGGGTTAATGATGCACAGGGGTGGGTTAATGATCCAGGGATTTGTCTGTGGCGTTTTACACTTTGGTAACAAGAAAGGGAACCTAGAGAGAAAGGAAAGATAAGTCTCGTAGTCTTATCCCCACTCACGGTTGAGGAGACTGAGGCAAAGTCCCCTACCCAGAAGAGCCGATATGGCAGCCAAGCCCACACTCCTGGCCACCAGGTGTGCACCTCCACCGTGGCAGAAGAGGCCCCAGCAGAGCCCGGCAGAGGTGGACTCTCTACCACTGGCGTAGGTGTACAAAGACCCACACGGGGCACGAGGGACTCACTCAGTCGTACTCTGAGCACACGCCAGCTGAGCAGTCCGAGGGACTTAGGCTAACCTCAGCTCTGCCACCTGCTTGTGAAACTGTGGGCAATCACGCCGGATGCTGGTCTGTAAGACAGCAGCCACCCCACTGGCCATCTAGGAAAATCCAACACTGGCCCACCTGGGCCTGACAGAGTGGGCATTCAGCAAACCAGTGCAGCCATTACCCTAACCTGCAGAGGTGGGGTGGGATGGCACAGGTGCCAAGACAGCAGCAGGCAGCAGGCCCCACCCTACCTGGCCCACCTCTGCCAGCTGTGGCTCAGACCATGGGCACCAGGGAGGCCCAGGAGTACATGCACAAGCATAGGATGTGCAAACCAAGGCAGCTGTGTCCCAGCTGGGCTGTCCCGGCAAACAGGGACAAGCCTGTGGCCAGCTTATCTGGCCCTTGTAGCATAAACGAAGACAGTGAAGCCCAAGGAGGGGCTGAGACTCACCTCATGCCAACAGCTGAGTCTAGGCCAGATCGGAACTCTCCATCCCTCAACAGTTCTGCAGCTACCTCCAGGGCTCCTTGCACCTGAGCCCAGTGAGCCATGGGCCTTGGGAAACTCAAGCTGAGTAACAGGAGCCCAGGACACTGGTGTACCCTACCCATTCACAGCACAAACAATTCGTCACTCAACAATCATTTATTGAGCACCTACGATACATCAAGAACATGAGGGTAGCTGGGCATGGTGGCACATGCCTGTAACCCCAGCACTCAGGAGGCTAAGGCAGGAGGATCGCTGTGAACTGGAGGTTAGCCTGGGATACACAGTGAGTTCAAGAACAGCTTGAACTACACAGTGAGACCCAGACACACAAACGCACAAAAAAGGAATGTGAGAGGTTTTTTGGGGGGAGTGGGTGGTAATGGGGATAGCATCCAGGGCCTTACACATGCTAGGCAAGTGTTCTACCACTGAGCCATATCCTCAGCATCCCACCCCTTTTTGAGATAGATTCCTGCTAAGCTGTACAAGCTGGCCTCAAATTTGTGATCCTCCTGCCTCAGTCTCCAAAGTAGCTGGGATTACAGGCATGTGCCACTGTGCTCACCTGCCAAGTACTTTTTGAGGTGCTAGGGACACCATAGTGAATGAACCAATGAAAATTCCTGACCTTGTGTTCCTGGCAATATCAGAGGCCTGGGCTGTTGTCCCATTTTACAGATGTGAAATCAAGATTCAGACAGGTGACACACCTTTGCCCACCATCACAATGATAGGGAGTGACAAAGCCAGGGTTTAGAACTTCGATGTCTTTCAAGGTTCAGAAAGCTCCTCTGAAAGCCCCAAACTCAAGGCTCAGGCTGGGGGGCGGGCCCAAGGTACCTTGAATACCACCTCCAGCTGGAGAAGGCAGCTGAAAGTGGGTCCCCTCTGCTTATTCTGACAGGGAGGCGTGACCCTGGGAGGGACATGCACACACAAAGACACACAATTTAGGATGGCTCCCCTGCTCCTGCCCACCCTCCACCATCACCAGACATGTATCTACCTGGTGCCACCTGCCCCTGCCAGAACACAAGTGGATGGGATGTCAGCTCCCTAGCACCTAGGATAGTGCCTGCCCACACAGGCTGCTCCGTGAGGGTCTACTGGATACTGCTGCCCCCAGGCCTGGCATCCCTCCTGCCCAGAGAGGAGGACCACCAAGGCCAGCCAGGGAAAATGCTCAGCATGTGCTTCTTAGCTGTCTCCCAGCTTCGCATGGTTCAACTGCCGTGAGGGGATAAGTGGCCTTGGGACTTGAAGCCTGGTCTCTTCCCTAGTCATGACTTCACTAGGCCTCAGCTTTCCATCAGTATAACTGAATCAGTCATATCCTAGTTCACAACATCCCAGGGCTTCCTACTGCTTGCAGTGAGAGCCAAGGTCCTCTCTGTTGCCCACAGGGCCCATTACAGCTGGATCGTGTCACTCCTCTGTCTCGCCCTTGCTCACTCCACTTCTGCCAGGCTGTTCCTAGAAAACATAGGCATGCTCCCACCCCAAAGCTTTTGTCCTCGCTGTTCCTCCCCAAGACACCCTTGCCCAGCTCCCCGTGTCTCTCTCAGGGCTCTGTTCGCTCACCTCCTCAGCCTGGCCTCCCCTGAGCAGCCCATCTCCCTCCAGCCCCTCACTCCTCATAGTTTCTACTTTTCCCAACAGCATTTATCACCACCTGAAGTCATATGTCTGCTTATTGTTTGTTCCCACCCCCTACTGGAATGTGAACTCCATGAGGGTGCCACTATGTCCCACAGCCTAGGGCAACATAGTCCATCACAGTGAATACTTGCTGAATGAATGTAGCATACTGGCTCCCCATGTTACCTCAGCATAATGGCTTGCCCCCTCTGAGCCTTGGTTCATTCCTTCATCTCTAAATGGGGCTATGAATGAGATTACAAATGCAGAGGCAGATCCCGGAGCCTGGCCGCTGGGCTCAGAGTGTCCAGCTAAGCCTGGAGACTCAGTCCAGACAGACTCACAGCTTCCTCCCAGACAACCCTGAAGGGCTCTGTGAAGTAGGCATCTGGTGGGGGCTGGGACACACTGGCTCTTTACCTGGTGCCTCTACGTCTCAGGGCACCAGATACAAGGAGAACTGCCCAGGTGTGGTGACACACAACAGTATTTCCAGCACATGGGAGGGAGGCTGAGGCAGGAGGAGTGCCTCAAGTTCAAGGCCAGCCTGAACCACAAAGCAAGACCCTGTCTAAAAAAAAAAGAATAAGAACTGAGTGAGAGGAGAGACCCAATGTGGTGGGCAAAAGCAGCCCCTTACCGCGCTTGTGGAGCCAGCCTTCTTTGATGACAGACACCTCATTCATGGTGGCAGTGTGACACACTGTCACCTACCTTGAGACAGCTCAGAACAGCCGGACATGCAGGAGGTGCTATAGACAGAGTATAGTCTGTAAGACAAGAGAGGAGCCTGTCAGAATAGGAGGGACCCCACCCTGGCCCCTTCCTTCAGGTAACCCAGCTCCACTCCACTAGCTCTAGCATCAGGCGGGTGTGGGTGTGTGTGGTGTGTGTGGTGTGTGTGGTGTGTGTGTGTGTGTGTCCTGGGGCAGACAAAGCTGGGTCCCCAGAGACCCCAATCTGGGGGAAGCAGAGCTGCCTAGCCTATAGGCGGCCAAGCCCTGCTCTCAGGCCCCTCCTTTCACCCTCCCTCTCAATCAAGGTAGCTGCAGGCCCACCCCTGAGTCACTCCCATGCCCCAGTGCTGAGGTAACCCTGGATGAATCAGACAGCCCTAGGCACTCAAGAGTGAGGGTGTGCTCAAAGCCACCAGCATCTGCCTGCCTACCCCCAATATGCATTCTCATTCTCTCATATTCTCTCTCTCTCCCTTTCCTCCCTCCTTTCTAAACCAAGGAGCCGCCAATCTGCTACCTTCAGCACCCCCAAACACATCCCACTCCTCCCCCGCTCCCAAATCCCCTCCTTGATGGGCCTGAAGTCACTCCTTCAGCTTCAGTTCCCTCCCTGCCTCCACCAGATGACTGAGGAAAGATAAGTGTCCCAGGCTTCAGGCTTCGGAATCCTGACAAGCAACCTACTGTGTATGTACTTGTCTGGGGCCTAGAAGCCAGTCCTGGGGGCTTGATCACGGCCCTGGTCCCTTCCCCAAGACCTCTGCTTCTGTCCTCAGGAACAAGCAGCCGACAGACCGACACACTGACAAACACCAAGGCGGCTGCTGCATCTCAGGTTCCCGGAGAAGGGAGAAGGGCGCAAGGCAGCTGCCAGCTAGGGCCCTACCTGGAGCCTGGGCCCTGGACTAGCGGAGTGGAGCCCCAGGCGCCTTTCGTCTTTCCCAGCCTGGGGTTATTTGCGGACAGCAGGTCAGGAGCTACGGTGGCCCCCAGAGAAATGGCAGCTGGCTCTAGGGACACCCTGGGCATCAGCTTTCTCTCGTGCCCCAGGGGAGCTGGTGGGCTGGACACACTACTGCCTGACATGTGACAGTGGCAGGCTGCCCAGGCCCTGAGCAGAAGGAAGGGAGGTAAATGGGAGGAAGCGGGAGAAAAGGCAAGATGGACAGCAACAGGGAAGTAAACAGAAGGGTAAGAAATCACATTTTGGACTCCAAGTTTTGCAAAGGCATGGAAAGACTAGGGGCCAGGAACAGCAATAAGGGGCCTCCCCTGCTAGCAGCCATGATACCGCCTACCCTAAACACACAAGACAGCTAGAGCCCTCAACCCTGAAATGCCTGTTAACGTGAGCCCCTAGTGTAACCACTTGGCTCTGGGCCACACCCCACACCCCTTCCCTCCCACCCTACAAAAGGCCGGGCCAGTAAAGTCTTGCTCTGCGTTTTCCCTGGGCTCCCCCTCAACTTTCTACCATTTGAGAGTTAAAGCGACCCTCAAATCTGACCATACCCTTCCCTGCTCGAAACCCGTCCATGGCTCCCCACTGTCCTTGGCAAAAAAGTCAAACTCCTCAGCTTAGCTGTCAAGGCCTTTTAGGACCCAGCCTCTTCTGCCCTTTGTTCCGGCTGCCTGCTGCTCACTCAGCCTGCACAACTCCCACCACCGCTCAGGCCTTGTCCCCGCAGCCTTCAGCTGGGCCTCCTAATGGCCTCTCCATACCCGGCCTTCTCCCTGGGCTCCCGCTCCTGACCCCCAACTCCACCTAAACCTGACCTTGTTCCTCTCTGTTCAAAAGCCTTCCATGGCTCCCAAGCGTGCGCAGACACAGAACAAAGTCCTTTCTATGCTGAGGAAGCCTTGTGTGTGCTGACCACGATGGTGCTCAAAACGCCTCTCCAGCCAGGGATTAGCTCAGTGGTTCTGCCGCATGCCTCGCAAGCACAAGGTCGCGAGTTCCATCCCCGATACCAAAATAAAAGTCAAAATGTTTTTAGGGCCAGGGATTTAGCTCAGTGATTCCACCACCTGCCTCGAAAGCACAAACACTCGAGTTCAATCCCTGGTACCAAAAAATAAATAAATAAAACGCCTCTCCAGTCCTGCCCCCCACCCTGCTCTCCACATTAGGCATCTGTCACTCAGGCCCTTCACCCTGACCTCCATCCTCTGTACCTTCCGTGCATTCTTCGCCCTCCTCCTGGAGGTCTCAGTGAACCAGTGCCTCCTCCAGGAAGCCCTCCAGTCTCAGGATCTCAGGCTGCACTGGGTGCTCTGTGCACCTCCCCGACAGCTCTCTCCACACCAATCAATGCATGGCCCTAACCCTGCTGAGCCCAGGGAATGACCAAGGTTCCCCAGACAGACAGCCTAGGACATTCTATCATGCCAACCATCTTCTCTGAGTGTCCTGAGCCGCAGACACTGTGCTGGGGGCTAGCGGCAGAGGCTCTGAAACTCACATTCTGGCAGGTAAGGCAGAATCACACACACACACAGGACTTCAGGTGGTTGAGAGGTGCTGCACGGTAAATAAAGTAAGGGGAAAGAGTGGTAGGAAATGCGGCGCTATGAGTTGCGGGACACACACACACACGCACACACACACACACACCACGGACATGAGCAGATACCCAGAGTAATCACCGGAGCGAGGGGTATAGAACCACAGGAAAAAGAATTTCAGGCTGGGAAACACAAACACAAAGGCCCTGAGAGGGAAGGAGCTGGGTTCTAATGAAGCCAGGGAAGAGCATGAAGGGTTTCCGGGCTGTGGCAGGGAGCTGGAGCCTGACACCACACTTTCCCCTGCTACAGGTTCAGTGGAGTCCAAAGCAAGGCAGTTGAAGTTGGGTGTGGTGGCACACACCTATAATCCCAGCACTAAGGAGGCTAATGCAGGAAGACTGCTCCAAATTTGAGGCCAGCCCAGGCTACATAGTGAGTTCAAGGCTAGCCTGAACTACATAAAAGCAGAAGGGCAGTCAAGGAAGGAACAGAACAGAGCCCCAGGATCCAACCTTAGGTCTCCCCTGCGCTCACTGGCCCAGCAGCATCGCCTCTTGAAGCCTTGCAGCACCAGGGTTATTGGCAGGACTTAAGTACCCACTGTGGGCACAGGGCTCAGCCCACTGCCTGGCGGCCAGTCAACAACCAAGCACATAGTTATCATTATTCGAAAGCTAAGGGAAGGCACTCAGGTGTGGCCGAGAGTAGTCAGGGTTCCAGAGTCCAAAAACCATGGCCAGCTGGGTGGCCTTGGGCAGGATGCCGGGCAGTCCCAACATCCCACCGGAGGGGCCATGACCTCGGACAGGTGAGGTCAGAGGCTCAGAGCAGGGAAGCCATTTACCTGGGTCTCCCAGCTGACAATGGTAGAGGCCCTGGCCCAGCTTGGCCTCCCAGAGCCACTTTTTATGGTCTCGTCTCAGCAAATGAAAAGTCGGCAGCAGCTCGGGCAAAAGCAGGGGGAGGAACTGGAAGATCCCCTGTCTGCCTGGATCCTGCCCCGTCCTCCCACTGAGGGTGGCGCCTCAGCCGAGGTGTCTGTGACGCAGCCCTGCAGTGATGAAATACCAGGCAGTGCAGCCAAGAGGATGGCCTGTCCATTGGGGAGCTGCAGGCTAAGGACACCAGGCGGGAAGACAGAGTCTGGCCTCGGGGTCCAGGGCCCCCACAGGCAGCACCTCTGGCAGCAGACAGAACCTGTCTGGCCCCATCCCCACTTGCTACTTCCTAGGGTGCCAGGCCTGAGTGGGCAAAGGGCCCGGGCTAGAGCTACAGCTACTGACCAGATGTGAGCCACTCAGGAGGCAAGGTGAAAAGAACAAGGACACTCAAAGGATTAAGGAACACAAGGGAAATGCAGATTAGAACCACCTGCTTAGCATAATACCTAGGATTTAAAAAAAAAATGGGTTGGCAAGACTGTGGAGCTATCAAAACTCCTATTCACAGGGCCATGGTGAGCTCAGTGGTTCCACCGCCTGCCTCAGAAGCACAAGGTCTGGAGTTTGATACACGGTAGCAAAAAAAAAAACAAAAAAAACTCCTATTCACTACTGGTAAGAGTGTTAGATAATTCAACCACTGTGGAAGACTGGCAGTAAGAATTAAAATTCATTATATGAAAAAAAAAATTCATTATATGCCTATCCCATGTCCCAGCAATCAATCCTACAGCGCCCAGAAGAAATTAACACATTTGTTTACCAAAAGCCACATACCAGAAGGTTCACAGAACAATACCCAGTGATTCCCAAACTGGTCACAGACCTGGAGCCCATCCATGAAAGAAAGGTAGAAGAAACTGGTAAATTCATACACAGAACAAAAAGTGAAAAGGCAATAAATAGGGCTGAACTGCTCATACACGCACAGGGAGGAAGCGGAAGAACATGAGACTGAGTGGAAGAAATCAGAAATGAAATGACACAGCAAGGATGAGTTCGCTCACAGAAGACCAAAACAGATGCTTTCCTTATGCATCAAACTATAAAAAAATCAAAGGAAACAAACAGCACAAAGGCAAGAGTGGTTATGTTTGGGAGTAATAGAGGGGCAGGATTTCTGGGAACAGACAATGTTCCACTATGGTCACACAGCTGTCTGCTGCCCTGCAGAAGATGTCTTTAAGGCATTTTTGGTATCTTATGAGAGGAGAAGCAGCTATGCAGAAGAACCCACGTTTGGGAGTTCAGATGACTTGGAGGATCCCAAATTGGGCCTTCCCCAGCCCAAAGCAGGGCTTCCCCCACTTGCCTCAGCTGGCGCCCCCTCCCAGGCATGGGATAAGGAGGAAGACAGCAGAGTCCAGGGGATCCGGGTTTCAGTCCTGGGCTCTGCTATTTCTTGGCCATGTCCACAGGCTAGTGACACCCTTGGGGCTCCTTCCTGTACACTGACCCACTGGAGAAGTGGCTCCCCCCAGGACAGAGCTGGGGGGAAGCTTCTGGCCCCACTGACACTCAGGGATCAGCTGGGGGTGAGAAGGGTCCTCAAGGAGGCTCCGCTGTACTGGTGAGGTTTGTTTT